TTGTCTAATATTTAAGAATTGAATTTTTAATAATTTTTGCTTACAATTTTTATTCTTAGAAAACTTCGCCTGAAAATATTATTTGATTGTTTATTTTGATAAATACCAGTCTTGCATTTCTGTCGTCTGCTCGGTAAAATATTATTCATTTCTTGTCATATTGTATTATTAATTTGGAAATGATTGCTACTGTTATTTTCTTTAAAGGTTTTGTAGTTTTACCAAACAAACAATTATCAATTCATCAATAACTTGTCCTTTAATTATGATAAAGCGATTATTAATCAGTGAAATTATCATTTCGTATTCGTTTTTTGTGAAGAAAAAAACGATCGAAGAGTAATAAAAATGACTTAATAAATAATAGCCATTACTATTTTTAATATTTAATCACAATTATTAATATTTACATTCATTTCGTGATTAGTACCGATACTCTCAAAAAAATATCGAGTAGTTTAATAAATAATATTAGAAATTGTACGCAAAAAATTTCGCATCTCATCTACTGCGTGAAAAAGTAGACGTAAGTCATTCACAACTTTTTATTAAAATAAAATCAGAATCAAAAAGTCCTCTAAAAAGTAATTTTGATTTTAAAAATTGCCATCTTTTCTCCAAATCATTGGAATACATTTGCTGAATTCTTGTAGTAATTGCAATGAAAAAGTCTCAGTTCTGTACTTCAAATCACAGAATATAACAACAAAATATCAAAAATAAGTAATGAATTTTAAATAATATGAAAAAACGAATAATAAGTCATAATTTTTTTACAAAACAATCAAAGTTGCGCAACGTATTACTGTTGCGAATTTCAGTAAACTTAGTAACATTTGTTATGGCTATTAAATTGAGTTATTTGAAATGTCGATCACGTCTATGTTATTTTTGTAAGCAAAGAAAGCAGAACATTGGTGGATAAAATTTTTAGATAACTTACATTTCTAATTACTGTTAGCAATTGGAATTGATGACTTAGGGATATTAAGATTGATTGAATCAATCGACTGATTGATATATTACTTCAAGATTCAGAATAATGTAATGGAAAAGTGTAGTGAAACAATTCTAAAGATACTAAACATTGCATTTTTTTTTAATTAAATGTTTTACATTTGTTTTTTGACGTATATATTTGCGCTGAAATTGGAATATTTCATCGATTTTTATTAATTCAATTAGTAATTTACTTGTGATTTCAGAGAAATGACTGCAAATTATTCACCAAATTCTTCACCACCAACATGCAGTAGATGTCATTGTTTACAGGTTCTTTTACTTTAATTTTATTTAAAAAAAAAGTATTTGTAGTATTAAATGAAAGTACCAGCAATGTATTATGATCACTATAGTGATAACTTAATGAAAACTTTCGTGATAACTCTAACAGCGTACGGAACATAGAAATAAAAAGCAGTGCATGATACAGTACTAACTATACTATTGTACTTCATAATTCAGTAACATTTTAAAAAGTCGTTAGCAAATAATTACTAACATTCAGAAATTTCGATATAATAACAGTAGCGAAATGCGCAAATCTATAAGAAAATATTTAGTAAAAATTTGAATTGTTTTTCAGGACGATTTAAGTTTATAGCTTGTTCTCCATTTTAATTTTATCAAAAATTTTACAGCTAAATTATTATAAATTTTTTAATTTTTAACAAAATTTGATCTTATAAAAGTAAAAATTTTTAATAGCGAAAGAAAATTAGAAATAATTTCAACTAATTTAAAAATTTTAAACAGTAATATAGCTTTTTCGCACATGAAATTCAAATATATATTTTTTTAACAAAATGATTAGTTGATACAGTATCTAATTAAGTCAATAATACTATTTATTGATGGATCAGTAAGTTAATCCATTCCATCGATCAAACCAAATACGTAATATCCGTCTGACTACTTCTTGATAAACTTTAAGTTATAAATTCCCCACAGTTTTTGCAATTATTTCTTCTTACTGTAGTAATAATCAAAATTTGTTATACTCTACTAATCACCCGCCTATCGAGTAATGTGATAAGCAAAGCAAAAATTCTGATTACCACATAACTTGTATGTACTTATCACTTTTAACTTCTTACTCATATTAAAAACAAATATTTCTAAGTTGGAAATGCTTGAGAATTTTGTAATGAGAAAATTTAGTAGTTCGTTTCCATTAGAATGACTTTTATTTTTGTTCCGAGTCAGTAGTTTTTCAAATTATTTGAGGATAAAGTAAGCTTAAACATTTGTTAGGATAAAATAAGAAAAGCAAAACTAAAAGCCAATAAAAAAGTACAATTTTTATAAGTAACAAAAAAAGACTGAAAACAAAATATTCATAGCAAAGTCTATTTTCGAAGTTATATTTATTATTGCTATTTTTAAAATAAAAATTATCACTGCTTTTCAAATAATTCAAACTATATTTGTTCACGTAACTAAAATCAAAACAAAATAAAAAAAGATTTTATTCAAGCAAATTATTTCATGTTTGATAATTCTTTCATGCCATCAATTAATTTATTAATTAAACAATTAATGTTTTCTGTACTAATTTCTTTCTCATTACAATGACACAATCTTTTCAAAAAATAATAATAATGAATTCCATCAAAACTATCTTTCTTTCAGTAAGCAAAATATCAAAAATTATTAGACAATTT